GAAAGCGATATATGCGGTGATAAGCATATGTGTGGATTTAAATGTGCTTTCATATGTGTTCACAGCCCAGAGTGAGCAATGGGACTTTCCAGTCTCCGCCTACATATTTTTACCAAGGGCGTCGGCCCAGATGGGGCTCATCTCGATTACTCTGGGGACAAGAACAAAAGCAACCATTGCATCTCCATATCGATCATGGAACCCCAGATTTTTGAAACGGACAACGCGAGAAGCAAGAGGGAGAAAGAAAATAAAAAAGCGTTGAATGTGTTGTCGTTTAGATGAGCATGAACCAAAAAACGTCAAAAGTCCCCGATATATACCCCGCCATTTCGTTTGAGACAACAGCGACAAAATCCTGGCACATGCAACACCCGTGAATGCGAAAATCTGTCGAAAGAGTCACGCGTTGCCACGTAACCGAGATTTCTTGTTCTTTTGCATCTGCGTGAGTGTATTCGCAATCGGTGGTGATGTAATTGAACGTTGGAGATGAGATGTCATACGGCGTGTTGCAAATGAGCATGATGACGTCGTAAAAACGCGGCTTGTTGCGTTTTAGTAGTTAGTTATGTCGTCGTTCAAGATGACAAAAGTCTGCCTTTCGCGCCCAACATGAACCCAACTTGCCCGAAATATGATACTGTTTTATATTTCCTCTTCTTTGTATGAGACACAGGCAACTGACTCGTTACGCTAAAAGTTGAGTAAATTACCACATTATCCATTGGTAGAAAATGAATACGCATGGACCCGGCAGCAACCCCGAAACGCAAGGAGATGGAATATGAAATTTCGCTTCCCATGGTTCTGTTTTTCGCACTCTAACTTTTAACGCTGATGGTTTAGTTGTTTAGTGAATCATGGTTTGAGGGAATAATGCGGGGCTTCAGTATAAAAGGGCGGTAAAAGGATTCCGTGGATAAAGTAGCAGTGACTTGAGGTTATGGAAAGCCCACTCCTTCGAAAAATCTGAATTATTTGAATGATAATGAGGAGGAGAATTATTCTTGTTCTTTTCTTGACCCTTTTCGAAGAAAAACGACCATAATATTTACGGCCTTCCAGTTCGTCCATTTTGACACGCGAACCCCCAAGGCCGCCAGCTTGGACTAGACTTGAGAACAAACTTCACGTTTCCTTTTAGATCAATCGTTAGGCGGTCTACAGCGTTATCACCAATTCTGGCTGGCGGTGTTTCAAAGTTAACCCAAAGATTCTAATCTGATCAGCGTTTTGGTATGAGTAGTGGTGGCCATCAGTCAAGAATCTGTCTGGTACTTGGACTAAGCTCACCTGGGTGATGATGAAGGTAGTAGTTTATTTAATGACTCAAGTAGTTGATTACGATGCGTTCACGTATATCCATCATTCGTGATTTTGGCGGAGTCCGGGAAGAAGATACTCTGCACCTGTTGTTTCAAAACACCGATGTACGGTGGAAACCAGTGGTCCAAACGTGCTGCAGAGCTGGGAGTACATCAGAGGCGGTATCTCAGCACGGGTGGTCAAGTGTATCAAACGTCCCTATGCCGTCATCGGGCTTTGGCTGTTTATCCATTAGAAAAGAGGGGGGCGAAAATTTTCGCGTCTAGAGCTGGAGATTTTAGCGCATGTTTGCTGATGCAGAATATTCGTTGCTGGAAAAGTGCCTGTACAGCTGCTGTCGGATTTCTGCTAAAATATTCAGCAAATAATACTGTTCAAAACATGTACGTACATAGAAATTTTTGAAAGATTCATGCAAAGAAGTTATAGAAAACGCCATTGAAGTATAAATAAATGAATTACGGGATATGTGCAAGTTGGGAGGTATACAGACTATTCAATGTAGGGAGCAATCATAACTTCAGCCATCCGTCGGTGCGCTATATCAAAATGATAAGCATACTATCTTTTTTTTTTCACTCATCAAGCTTCGAATTAATATCTCAATGTTATGATGTCCAATTAACTTCATGGAACTGAAAAATAGAAAGTTACTTAGCAGATTATTGACATGTATAATGAATTGAAAGTCTAAAATTCTAAAACTATTTTATAAATTTCAAATTTCTTATCAGTATCTTCTGTGAAAATTAACTAAAAAGAAAGTTGAAAGTTTAGCTGTAAATAAAAAACTTTACAAAAATTAAAAATATAAGTTAGAAAAGTAAATAATTTATATAATAAATAATTATTTACTAATTATAAAATAATCTTAAAATATTTATAAGTTTAATTCTCTGATATTATTAAATAGATTTCTCAATCTTTTTATTTATAGTTAATAAGATATAAAGATATTAATATATATAATATTTAAATAAATATAAAAAAATTATATAAAAGATAATAATAAATTTAATTAAATAGTTATTAAAATTATTAATTATTATAAAGTTTAAAACTTATTTTAAATATTAATATATATAAAATAATTTATTTAATAAAAATATAATTAAATTTATATTTAATAATAAAAAGTTTTTATATTACTATAAGTTATATAATATTATTTTATATATTTTTTAAATATTTTATTTATATATTATAATATTAAATAATATATTTTTTAGTAATTAAAATAAATATTATTATTTCATAAATTATTAATTAAATTATTTATTATTCATATAAATAATATAAAAAATAATTTTATAAAATTTTAAGATTTAATTAACTTTCACTATTTAAGTTGATTTTATAGAAGTATGATAATTTTTTATTTTATTTATCACTTATATTTACATATTAAAATATAAGCTTTATATTATTATAGATTATATAGATATATATTACTATAATAATATTTTTTCTTAGAAGAAAATATATTTTTATAATTAATTTTTAAAATTATTGAAAACTAAAATATTATATTTAAGTAGCAAGATATGATGATTACTTTCAATTTATAATCATTTTATTATTTAAGCGATGGACTAAATAAGATATTTAAAAGCAATTTATATAGATGAAATTGAATGCTCATAGAGAGGGAGTTAGATTTAAAGCTATTATCTTACCGCTAATACTGTAAGGTTAAATACATGCCATTAGATTTAAATAGACAGAATTCTTATTGTCAGAGACATGTAGGATAAGTAATATTATAAAAGAGATAAATTGATTGAGAAATCTGCAGTTAAAAGCATTTTATATCTGCAATAATAGAAGGGCAGTAAAATATGTGAACATCTAGAAAATGATACCGCTAATAAGGAAGATAGAGATATATTAATTATGATAGATAAGCTGTGTGATGTTGAGATATTATTTTTTGAAGGTTGTAATATCTAGAATTTTTATCGGTTTGGTGTGGCGCACCTACACTAGGTGTGAGTGGGTTACGATTAGGGTGAAGATGAATGACTCTGGCACAGCCACACAGTGAGGCGCAGTTACGATCATCATTTTCGCAGACATCCAGATGAGAATGCAACTTGGCAATTTAATACCACCGCCTTACCAGAAATTTGTGTTCTGGGTGAGTATAGGAGTTGCAGTGCTGTATCCATTTACAGGTTGTTGAGTTTTCTCTCGGTGAGACACAGAGCCGATAGAAAGCACTCTCAGTGAGCTAACCAATCAAACCATCAATTGTTTGAGTTCTTGAAGATCCCACCGTGGGCGCATACTGTGACATATGGTCGTTTGACCTTTCCAACCTCCTATCAAAAGGAATCTCTCTCGATTCGATATCACAACCAGTGGGAAAGAGCCATTTTGGGGGTTTGACCAGTGGTAATGTCAGAGACCGTCACAATGAGGTATTAACTACCTCCGCCATTCTGCTGATTGCTGTTGATGATCACAGGTTACCTCCCGGCCGGGACCATTTGTCACGGACCTTAGAATGGGTAATGTCACCTGATGCTAACAACAGCACGCGCTCCTGACGGGGCTTCCATCCCAGGTTTCGAAGAAGAGCTACCTACGGTGACTCGTGAGTGACTGCTCGTAACAAGAAGTCAAGATCGGACTACACAGTCGAGAAAATAGACACACAGGTGGAATATGACTGGTACAAAGCACAAAACACGACACAGCGTGAAAGAAAAAGAGTGCTTTTTCGAAACGCATATCATTTTTCCGCGAAGGACCGCTGCAGCTAAAGTGTAAATAATCCTTGCCCAAGTTGCCCAGCAATTGTAGCGTTGAAAAGTGATGAGCATACCGTCCCGGCTCATGGACTAAACGGGCTGTGAAGTTGGCGTCTTCTTCCAGAAAGCCTGGAATGACTGTGGGTCGCAGCTTGATCCAATCGGCGATCAGAGCAGGGATCTTGTCGAAATAGCGGGTCCTTGTGTTCTAGGACAACTGCGAATCTGATGCCCAAACTCCTCCAAGACACAACCCTCCTCCAGCTGAACTGTGCTCAAAAAGTATTCAAGACTGGAACTTAGTTGCAATCTATCAGCGGACTAAGTTCGCTTTCTCCCCTACTTAGGCCCAGGTTGACCCATGTACTCCCTTGCTGGTGTGTTTCGAAACGTGAACCTTGCTCGTCTTTATATACCCTGGGCTGGCTTCCCGCCAAAGAGCATGGCAAGGTTTCCCAGACTTCTGGAATCAGGCTCACTAGATTCAGATGAGATTCCTCTTTTGAGGATTTGAGATGGATCAAGGTTGAATGCTGTTTAATGCACTCCTGAAGTCCCAACAAAGGGTTTATAAACTCTGTAGTGGCTATACTGATACGTATTGGTAGATGCACTGAACATGCAGCTTAGGCCTCTTGCTAGGTTAGGAAAAGTCGACAGAGGAGGAATCAGGCGAGTCTAGATGATGTCCTGATCCTGACTGATCTATGAAGATCGGGAGGCCATCCTAAGATCATAGCTTCTTATCAGCGGACGTAGGTTTTCGTTTGTCTTGTCCCTTTCTAGGAAGACACAAGACATTAGCTGGAAGGGTTCACCTGAGTATTGCAAGATACCCTTTGCATTTACTTTCCACCACTGGAAATGCAGAAACTCTGTGGTAATTTCACCTGCAGGAAGCTTTATCCACTATCATCGATGGCCACGGGGGCATATTCCCAGGGACAGTCCCTGACGCTGGCTATTGATATTGCGAAGTACAAGCACAATAAGGTCTGAGACCCTGAGCTGATAATCAATCTACCCTCCGATCTGAGTTCTGTATATATTTTACAGGCTGATCTGATGCGCCATTGATATGCCATGAAGGGTTCTAGTCTGGTCCACGGGTTCCACCCGCGGTACATGGGCAAAGCATCCCGACAGGACGTTTCCGATTAGTCTGGAGAGACATGCATATATTACCAGACGCCTTTTATGGTATGACTATTGACGTATTATGAGTCGTCATCGCCCGAGGATTTTTCGACTGCTAACCTCCGTTCTTCTGTGTGTTTCCCATGTACAGCTTGATGCCAGTTAGCGACAGACAAGGTGCTCCTTGCCCCAGTTCACCGAGTTTTTGTCAGTTACGGGGGTTTAGCCAGCAATCGACCGAAACGTTCGGTACCTTACCATACCTTACAATACCCCCCCCCCCCCTCTTCCTTGGCAGCAAAAGCTCGCGGGCGTATGGACGTTGTGCCCGACATATTGAATATGCCGCCGCCAAGCCCTCTCAGCCATCCGTATTTGACGCGATAAATTATGATACGGCGTACACAGATACCGTATCCGCCACCACAAAGCAATATTTGCATGCGACCATCTGCGACCGTCTGCAGCTTACCCACTGACCGAGTGAAAATGGTGACAAAATATGGCGAAGGATAAAAGTCCAAAAAGTAGAAACAAATAAAAAAGTATTCCTTGCCTTGCTTACAGTGGACGCGAAGAAGCCGTCGGAGTCAGCGCGCCATGATTTTAAACGAGCCTGTCTTCATATAACCTCACGTCGCCCCCGCCTTTGCTCTACTTTGGAGCATCTCTTTTCCTCTTTTGGCTTTTATCGCCATCCATTCTCCCCTTGTCTTTTCTTGTAACCTCTTTTAATTCTCTTTCATTCTTATTACTCCTACTTCTTTGCCTCCCTCCCCCAAAAACCCACCCCCCTCTCCTCTCCTCTTCCATATACATTCTTCAACCCTCCTCCCTTCACACACTTTTCTTTGACATATCTCTTCTTGACTTGGATTACGAATCTTTCAAGTGTTGCTGAATGTTGCAATCATTATAATATAAATTTTTTGGGATATTTTTTCTTCCGCAAATATCGAACAGTTTAATAAACCCTTGACTTTTAGCCCTCAGTTCATATTACTTCTCCGACAGAATGCCAACGATTCTATTACCAGCATCTGCTGCCGCTTTCGCCCCAAGATCCTCTCCTAATGTTGTCCTAAACTCACGGGTAGAGCCGTGGTTAACTGTTACTCTGAAGAGGGTCAACCGGGTCAAGAGACCCCTTAACAACGTTACGCAGCACACACGATGTCTGACAGAAACGCTATCGTCGTCGAATGCCATCTGGACTCTCTGCTCGATCATGCTGCCGAAGGCACCTGAATCAGAACTGCGACAGGACGAGAATTTGCTGGTTGAGGCTCTGTTCAATTACCAACTTGTCCATATGGAAGCATACGTCGTTCATGTCGACATGGTTTCGCAAAATGAAGTCGCTTTCAAACTAACCCCAGAGACTATTGAATCACTAGTCGAGCACCACAAGGATATCTATTCTGTGGATACTGCTGCCAAAACCTGGAACTGGTCGGAGAAAGAGATACAACTGAAGAAGTTACAAGAGGAGTTCGTTCAAGCCGCCAACAGATTTGTTTATCGGGCATCTGCAACGGCGCTAGAGGGAATGGAAGAGGACGGCGCTGGTGAGCTTCTTTGTGGTCGCAGTGATGAGGCCAAGGCGGCCATTCTTGGATTGTTTGTGCCGCTGCTACCACCGCCACCTCGCATTGTTGATGCGGTGAGGCCAACTCCAATCCTACCCAGCTCGACGGGGCCTGATAACTGGTGGCACAGTCCCATCCAGCAGCCTCATCCCGAACCGGTTGATTCGTGGAAGGTTGTTCCGTCTAGCCCGAGCACTACCTCAAGCGATTCGAATCAAAACCTGTGGGCTGCCAGCATTGCACTTAATGAAATCCAAGCTTCGTCCCCTGCGCTGTCGAACAGCCACCCATATTCCACCACTGCGTACAGCGAAACTCAGTATTATAGCACTCCGGCCACTACGGCTTCTATCACACAGTTCTTGTTGCCGAGCATGCTGGCGCAGCAACAGTGCAGTACCGCAGCGAACATGGGAGGCTTTGGCTGGGGCGAGAGATATCAGGACTTCGCCCTGCCATATGGAACTACCATGTAGCCGCCATAGGTGGTCAGCTTAAGGGGATCTGGGTAATCTCATGTTAACTTACAAATGACCTCATTGGGAACCGCCCTGGCTACGTGGACATGCGAAACTTTGACCAATGTTGTTAACGAAACATGCGATTTCGACACTTAGACATGACTTCGCATGAACATCACGAGAGCCAACGGCATTCCTGAAGGCGTTATCAGAATTGATCTACAAAGCGAATCATTTTGGGAGGGGGTACATCCTTTTTACTTTTCGTCTATTTCCAGTTGAAACTGCCTAATAATTTTTTCCCTCCCTTTATTTTGTTTTCATTATCAATACCTGCTTTTGTCGTGTGTTGTTCAGCAAGCGTTGCTTTTTATGGGTTTGGTCATTGTTTTCTACTTACATTTTGCATTAAGAACTGGAGGGTCGGATATCTGACGATTTGCTTTACGTCATACTACTTACTCTCTTGGCGGAGGTTTTTCTTTTCATTATTACGATTTCGTTGTCCAATTCGCATTTCCTGGTATCACAAGATCTAATGCGCCTCACGGCTCGAAACGTTTTATTGTTTTTGTCGCATTTATAGATGAGGATTTGAGAGCACTATACCGGACAATGGGTTGGCTAGCACGGCTATTAGTCCCAGCTACTCTCTTCTCTTATCTTTGGTCCGCACTCGCTTCTGGTACTGCGTGCCAGACTGGCAATTCTTATACGGATTGGTGAGACTACGACCGGCGACCGGCGACCCCGTGGATCTACATAACATCTGGCATGTTTTGTTTGTATTCGCTTTATTGTTGCATTCTGGTTGTTGATGGTCGAAAGAGGAGTTCCTGAAACATGGAAACTGTTGGCAAGCCTTCGAGACTTTCAATCTGTGGTTGAACTTTTGGGTGAGGAAAATCCAACAACCCTTCGAAGTGAATCTGGGATTCTACTTCAAGGGTGTCTTTCTTCATGCTGGCGTACCCCGCGTTTCGAATGTTCTCAATCCACCCAAATAATGACCAGATATGTGGACTATCCTCTGCTAGGCTCATCCCCTTTTCTCCAGGCTGGTTTTTTATTTTTCTTTCACCTTAATTGTCAAATCACTCCCTGGAGAGGCCTCTCAATTCCATTCCTTTTCCCTGGTTGGAAGGAGGGGTTGAGTGGAATCGGATGCTGGAATCACAAACCTTTATATTCTTTGTTATTTAGGGCTGGGTGGGAGATCCGAGGCTGTGCTTTGGTTTTTTTTTTTTTTTTTTTTTTTTTTTTTTTTTCGCATTGTTTTGTCATCCCACTCAGCCATATAGTTATAGTGTGTAGTATCATTCCGTTCTATACCTAGTTGGTTAGTCCTCTTTAAGTTTGAAATTTTAATTTTGGACTCGATATGCTCTTCTTTCGTGATTTATCTTGACTAGTTTTAGTTAGTATTATGATTATCTGCACCTAACGTGATCAACCACCCAACGCCCGTTTACACCCAACGCCCGCTCAAATCTTCATTTTTCATTCATCTTTAACCACCTACAACATGCACCATGAAGCAGTTATATAAGCCGTGATTGATGATTTGAACACGCAATTAACACCTAATTACACTGAGACTGCTAAAAAATATGGAATCAGCTGATATACATTGTCAAGGCATTATAGAGGTGTTCAAATGTCAAGAAAGGAAGCAAGCTCTATCCACTGCAAAGCCCTCACTGATTCACAAGAAAAACAGCTCCTTTTTCATATCAATCAATTGGCAGATCATGGTTTCCTTTGTATGCCTCAAATCCTTCATAATCTTGTTGTTGAGATTCTAAAAGCATCTATTGAAGTCAACTGGGTGGCTCAGTTCTGTGAGTGCCACAAGGATGTGATCAAGTCACTTTATCTGTGAAATATCAATCAAAAACACAAGATTGCAGACAATTCTGCATACTTCAAGCATTATTTTGATCTTGTAATAGATTTCTTTCTTATACTACTTTTTTAATTCTCATCTTGCTAATTTATCTTAATTTTTCAGCTACAGACAAAAATCATGAAATGCAACCTTGAACCTGCAAATATCTACAACTTTGATGAGAAAGGATTTCTATTAGAATTCATTCACACTCTCAAATGTATTGTATTGATTAATTCACTCAAATCAGGCTGTATGATAGATGTCAGTTAGAATGACAGTTGAGAATTCATAACATTACTTGTCTCAATTTGTGCAGATGGAACTTCACTCCCACCTGCTCTCATATATCAAGAAGAATCAAGAGATATGCAAGATACTTGACTTGAAGATTTTGATAGTGAAAAGAATCAGATCTACTTCACTGCTTCAGAAAATGAGTGGAGCAATGATGAATATGAGTTAATGTGATTAAAGAAGATCTTTGAACCTCTTATAAGAAAGAAGATAGACTATAGATATAGAGTTCTTATATTAAATGATCACTCATCTCATGTTAATATGGTATTCATCAATTACACAGATCAGAATCAAATTCTACTCACTGTCTTTTCTCCTCATTCTACACACTGATTACAGTCATTAGATGTTGAGATATTTAAATCATTGAGTAAATCATATTCCAACCAACTGAATGAATGAATGAGAACTGGAATGGAATTCATACATACTACAAAAAGGTCTTTTTGACAGCTTTTTGACACTGTGTGGAAGGAGGCAGTTACATCTTCAAATATTGAAGCTGCATTTGCTGCTACTGGCCTACATTCATTCAATTCAGAACACATTCTTAAAAAGCTTCAAATACAACCTTGCATCTCTTCAGATGCAATATATCAATCAAGAACATCTACTTCTATTGTTGACCTGTGGAAATTGATGAAGCAAATCAAGCAACAGCAGCATCAAATATCTAATGATCTCAACCAGGTGATCTGTGCAGGGGAAAATCTTGCTCTTGATAAAGAGATTCTTCTAATAGAGAACAGGCAACTACAGCAAGCTCTTAATCAAGAGAGAAGATGTTGCAAGTGTGACAGGGCAATGAGATTGCTAGATCATTCAAATTCATCATTGACACAGTTCTTTTCACTGGCAAAGATGCAGAGCATCTGTGAGCAGATGACTGCTGTGGAGATCATCAAAAAGGATGAACAGACCTGTAAGGAGGATGCCAAGTTGCAACACACTATTCTTAAGAAGCAGAAGGAGACAGATATCATGTCACAGCAGATGAAGTGGAAGACAGCTCACCAGGCAGCAAAGGAGCAAAAGGAGATGAATAAGATCACAAGAGCTGCTCAACAGCAGATTGACAAGGAGCTTAGAGATGAGAAAAAGACTCAGGAGCAAAAAGAAAAGGAAGAATGAGCTGCTGTACAGCTACAATCATGATTGAATAAGAAGATGATTGAAGAATTCAAAAATCACCTTTCTAATCAGGAAAGTAGACCCTTGATTTCACAAAGAGTGGCTAAATCACATTTTCAGAACCCTGTCAGAGTGCCTGTGGATTCACTGCCTGAGTGATCTGGCAATATTGCAATCTCTACTGATTTAATGACTGCTTGCTCACTGAATCTGTCTCCACCCAGGATTTCACATTCCAGGCAAGTTATTAAGCCAAACAAATGTCTACAGAATTAGTTATATATTTTTATATGTAATTTTCTATATATATTTTCATCATATAATATATCATCTTGAAATCTAATTGCGTTGTTGAAATAACGTTGAAAATATTTCATCATAGTGATGGCGAAATGGCGGGCGTTGGGTGTAAACGGGCGTTGGGTGGTGGATTACGTTACCCAGTTTCTCTGAGACCAAGGATCTGTTATATGGGCAATAAAATAGCCGGAAAAACGAAAATATTATTGCCTACGGCTCCAAGGAAATAGGGGATATAGCTATTTTATATAAGACTAGCAGCAGAACATTCACGGGTTTTGGGTTTCGTGTAGAACAGGAACTATATGCAGACTTAAAAGGTCTTGTCAAAATTGAGGCTATGAGGCAAAGAAGTGTGAAAGAAGGGGCAAATGAAAGCTAAGAGTGAGATTAAAGTTTGTAGAGTGAGGTGACGAGGTTAAAATCGACTGGTAGCAGAATTACGTAGGGAGGAGCGGAAGATGTGGGTTGAACTTGTGGGAAAACTGTCGAGGGAAAACACACAGCTGATTGCAGAAAGGGAGGAGGACGAGAATATGTGATTTATTCTTGTATCTCTCTAGAATCTCCTAGAGAGTCATTTATTAGAAGCCTGCAGGAACAATTTGAGGGGAAAATGGGGGTATAAAAACTGGATTCATGAGCTATGATTATAACATGTGTACATCCACAAAAATAGTATATACAAACGTTTTGCCTCTTAGATAGTCAAAACATTATTGATCTAAAATCCAGCACTGTGGAGTCATGCAATGAAGGACAATAACAAGCGGAAATAGCATCCGTAACATCGAGTAAACAACCGCACAGGAACAAAAACCCTCTCTGCAGTGAACCCTAACCTTGGCAGTTCCTCTTCCTCCTATCGCTAATTTTATAGATCTGTCATAACCCACGTCCTGGTTCACGTAGCAGTCCCTGTCCCTCAAGCAAATATGTATGCGTTGTTCGCTGACCATCGGACCCCACAGCTTTCCACAACAGGCTTTGGGTGGTTCAATAACTCCATGAGAGTGCATCTGCTTTGGCATCTATGTACTATACCCGTTTCAAGGTCCGTTCTTCTGAATAGTGGGTATTGCGAATACGAAAGTTCCGGTGCCGGTGAATTATTGGTCGCCATTCGATATTGATGAAAAAGGGAAATATGTGGGCTGGTGTTCCAATATCATGAAATGAATGAAAAGCTGTCAAGCCTATTAACATTTATAGCTTGCTCTTAAGTTCCGAAGCACCCTGAGTGGTTGCCACCACTATTCTCTGAAACAGGGCTCTATGTGTGTTCGAGACACCTTGATTGCATTTCATTAGGGCGACAAAGTGTTATTCTTGCACCTGTAATCCCATACCATGCCATTAGCGTTGCGATAATATCTTTGGAATCAGAAAAAATCCCAAGGAAAACCTATCCCCCTCTAGGATTTTCACATCCACGAACAAAAGAAAGAGAAAGGTGGTCTCACCTCTGGCGGATTTCCTGCCCCACGAACCATCCTTTCTAACATCATAGCTCTAACCTTCTCCTTGTTCTCCCCCATTCCTATTGCCATGTATTCTAATAAGGGGGGATGTCCAATGTATGAGGCGTAGCTATCGCGGACGATGTTGGACGTCCATTCGTATTTGGTAGTATCAGCATGGCCGGTACCGACATAACGAGCTTGCAAAGCCTCCAGGTTCTGGAGTGTACGTAGCTTATCAGCCATTCTGGTTTGACAGGGGAGAATGAGACTATTCCGCGGTTTTGTGATAAATAATTGCTTGTCCTCGCACGAGGCGGATCTGTGCTTCGAGGGCTACTTAACAATCACGTGATCAATTCACGTGATTACACACTTAAAGTCACGTGTGGCATTGGCAAAAGTTTAATATTACAACATCTCGAGGAAGATAGGACGGTTTCGAGTTGTGAGTACATTCAGTTTTCATAAATGATTTCAAATTTTATAGGGGCATAACTTGCGAGGTAGGCCTCCTGTATTCTAATGGGCAGTATCCCATTGGAAAGCCGCATAGCTTCGCTTGTCCACTCGCATTTCGATGATCTGCCACAACGTAGCAAACCTACAATTCACCCCAATGGATTAAGGGAATGGGTTCCTCTGAGCGGCATTGTGCTTGTTACCGGTGAGTTCTGGATTCCCTGGTTATAATTGCCTCATTTTATATGACAGAGGAAGAACTGGCTCTTTAATTCCTTTCCACGCTGCGTTTTATAACCAATTAAGGGGATGGTTGCTGCAACTTTCGCTTGATGACACCTATTTCGAAATGTTAGGAATCTCCATGTATTTTCCCTTGGATCTCAATAACCCTTGATTGAATATTGAATTGTCTTGCTATTCTTATTTTGTCATGCTTCTTGCCTTCAGCGAATTGACTTCCGCAGCCAGTCTAGTTGTGAAATTATTTAAGATTAACAATTTAACTCTCTTTCGATGGCAAAGGTGAAAATACGTCGCACGAGACACTAACGTGTGTTGCAATAGCGTATGTGCATCCTTCGATAATAGTTTCCATTGTGTGACCGAATCATGCTGACTTTGTAACCAGAACAGGCGCAAAATGCCTCCCATCATCGCAGATACGGCTCTGTCGGGGTCTGGTACTTCACGATAGTCATGCCGAGGTTCTAGTCATTCGAGCTTTCAATCACTGGCTTCTAGAAGAATGCAAAATGATGCTTCAACAGTGGAAAGGCCCACCTAGTTCTGGTCATGAACATGATGGTGAGACGCACGCAATTCGTGCAGAGTGCACTAGTCGCCAGAAAAAAATCGCCGTGGAACAACATTCCAGATTCATAAACTGGAGGCATCGATTAAGAACAGAGAATGAACCAGCTTCAGTCATTCTTCTCAGCTCGTCAGATGTCACTCACCCCAACAATTCAGAGTGGCCATTATGGCCCCCTTTCCAACTTCGCACGGATCTCAAAATATATATGTACAGTACTTGTGCGCCATGTGGCGATGCTAGTATGGAAATTTGCATGGCTGCTCAGGATGACCCCACCCCATGGGCGATATCTCTCCCCTCTTATCCCAATACCGAAAGCTCCAATGATAATAATAATGAAACATGCCCTTCAGAGACCTACGCAAATTTACTCAATGGTCGCGCCCACTTCTCCATCCTGGGCGCTGTGCGCCGCAAACCTTCTCGTGCTGATGCTGAATCAACACTCAGCAAATCATGCTCTGATAAGTTAGCTGTGAAACAGGTGACATCTCTTCTCACGTTTCCTACATGCTTACTCATTGTGCCAAGTCCGAACGCCTACTTGGCAGCTCTGCTTCTTCCGGAGGACGAAATAAGCCAAATTGCATGTGCCAGGGCGTTTGGGGGTGGTGAGACTGGTCGCCTTAAGAAGCTGAACGGTCAGAGGTGGAAAGTTGATGATATTTTGCCACCAAACGGTCAGGAAGAGTATGTGTTTCGTCCGTTTGAGGTTCGCTCTATACCGAATGCCCAGGTCAAGAAGGAGTGGGCGTTTGGGAAACCAAACGTAAAGGAAGTAAAGAGTAAACCAGGGAATACCTCTGCGGTTTGGACGGCTGCGCCATCGTATACGATGGCACCTGAGAAACTAACAACGAAAAACCTAAGCGAAACCCTCATCAATGGCGTTAAACAAGGCTATCGCCATTCATCACCAACACCGCGGAAAGCGAGCGCCCTTTCACGTGCAAAAATGTGGGATTTATTTCGGGACATCGTTCAACTCCTGCCCTCTGCCGAAATTAACATTTCTACGGGATCAGATTATATGCTAGATCCACGGGACAGTTCGCACTATTTGAAAGTAAAAGAATGCGTCTGTGCCTCGCAGACTTATGAGGTGGTGAAACGGAAATGCGTCGAACTAGGCCTTGGTCCAGTAAGGGTGAGGAAGGAGGTTTTGTCAGATGTGAGGATTGTTCTTGGAAATTGGGTTGAGAATCGAGGGGATGAGAATTGGGGCTTGTATGTATTGGACAATGAGATGAAGGATCGGAAGGCTCAGCGACAGGATCAAATTTCAATGAATGTTTATGAATAAATCTATACCACTTTTCTGCCAGAGTAAGTGGATATGTATAACGACATCTATATATCAATAATTACTAGCATGAATGAAACACTTTAAAATAAAACAACAGGTCAGGCTAATTAGAAAGTTTTAGCGCCAGTAATTATGAAAGAAGAAATTAGCACACCCTTGTCACAAAAAAAAAAAAAAGGAAAAAAAAGGAAAAAAAAAGGAAAGTAAAAAAAGGAAAGAAAGAAAGAAAGAAAAAAAAAAGAAATAAAAACCGAAATGGAATGCCGGATAAGGTTACCATGACACAACCCACCCCCTGAAGAGCCTCACATTTTGCCCCAAAAAGACTAATAAATCCCAGGTATGATCCTGCTTTTCACGATGGCTGTGTATCTATCCCAATCCTTGCCGTACTTCCTTCTGCACTTTGCCTCGTCTCTTCTCTCACGATGGAGGAGCAGAATGGCAAAATACAACATGAAGAAGTATGTAACTAGGTTACCCCAACCACGTACCTCGGGGGTTTGGACTGCACGCTTCTCAGTGGCACCCGTGATAGGATTAATTTGGTCAACAATCAGATACCCAGCAATGCCAGTGGGAAGGCAATATGACCAAGACATCAGCCAATCGCCCATATAATTAATGTGGCGAGCACAGCCCCACCACCCTGATATGAGAAGATGGGAACCAGCAGCAGTTTTGATATATTTGAGGTGCTTCACTCGTGGATCATTAGGATTCGTGCGAAATCGGTTCTTTTGGTTGTTGGTGCTGCGAAAGATGTAATATCCGACTGATTGAACTCCCAACACAACAACGAGGCCCCAGAGGCCAATATCTAACGGATAAATCGCGAGGTATCTTGTTTGCACGGAATAGATGAATGGTACCCAAACCAAATCCCCGAATGACAACATGAAACCAAACCCATCGGTAATCATATCCATTGTTGTAAGGATAGCAGGCTCCATGTAGAGGGCGTCAAGCACATAGAAACCCTGGAAAAAGGTAATGAGAATGATCGATATGGTTATGTGTCCCGAATTGACCTTGTATTGGTGAGCGATGTTGGATAAATTCAAAATTATCCAGCCCAACAGGCCGGGTCGTATCTCGCAGAAGGCTTTAATATCGAGTATCTTGGAAGCTTCGCTAACAAAGGGGATAGGAAGATGGATTCGCGGGTTTAGTTCACGACCCATGAAGAAATCGTATATTGGATTGCCACTGGTACCGCCCGGAGCTAGTTCACGGAATGTGGGGTTGGGTTTTCCAGGTGCTGGAACGGTGAAACTTGCAAGGTAAACGAAAGTTGCCAGTGCTTCGCTGACAATAAGATTTGCGGTGAGAACTGGGATATAATTATCCCAAAGGAATGTCCATACAGGGAAATCGGGTCCATAGATATAACTCCCTGCGGCAGATCCTCCTAAAATCAAAACAGCAGAAAGAAAAGCTAGAAGATGGAGATCCCAAGTTAGATAGTGGCTATGGGTAATTCGAGAAGTTCCTCACAATTGAATTTATATTTGTGCCTCCCTCCGCATGCTAGCAGGACTCCTTCCACCTCTTCCCCTGGAAGCACAACCTGCAACACCAGCAGGAGTAGGTAGTAGCCAAGAACATAGCAAGTAACCTGGGTATCGTATAGTCCTCTCAGTCCGTTCTCAGGCCATCCAACTTCTCGTTTTAATGTTTCAAGCGAAAGAGTCGACGGGTGGAGGAGGGACGGTGCTGGGCACCCAGAAATATCGTTGCAGACAAACGGGAATACATATACGATAATTGGAAGAACAATGAGTAAGATACACACTCCAGGACTAAATCGCAGGTTAGCGCTGATATGAATTCGTGCAAATAAAGAAAAAACAAAGAGTCATACGGTCCAAAGAATTCATATCCATGTTTTTGAAATGGAGTTGCGACAGGGGCACTGGCGGCCTTTTTCACACTTTTTTGGCCCATTGTGGGGATTTGCCAAAGCTCGCTTTGACGACTGAGGATGGCAAAGGCAAAGGATTGGCCAGTGAATATCAGCTCATTGTATTTACAAAAACCCCCTGTTCTCAGGTGAGAAATTATGTAGCAATGGCTGGGGAAAGAAGTCAATTGATACGAAGACGACGGGTGCATCCACAAAAACATGGGACGACATATTGGGACTGGCGGCCGAACGAGTGGCTGGAGATCGCTGGTGCCAAAAGGGGACTAGCGTGATCACCGGATGCGCCAACGTGAAGATTCACGTTATTCATGACTCAGCCATCCAGGCGGATGTTTGCCAAGCCTTGGCAAAGCGTTCTTGGCTAAGCTCTTCATAACGGCCCGAGATAAAAAGAGATATGTTTCGGGCAATTGTATGCCCGGACTCCGGAGTAGGAGCTGCGGACAGTGGATATCCCCATTCGCTTTGAACAACTACGGAGTATTAACTCATTGGTGTTCATTCTTGTTATACAACCCCGTCCGTTTCGGACTGCGCTTGTTGTTGCGCGGATATCGTTAAGCCTGTGTGTCGATCTCTCTTGGGGCGTATACGGTGCCTCTCCCTCTCTCCGCGGGAAGCCACAGTGGCTATCTTGCTCTTCCCAGTTGCTGCATTTCACCCCCTGAGAGCTACATCGGCTTTTCAAATCCTTCTGCCATGAATGCTACAAGATTAGCACTTCTAGCTACTGTGCTACAAACACTTCTCCTTTGCCGCTCAACCTTTGCTGCTGTCACGAAGGCTCCACGAAAATCCTGTACCATATACTCCCCTACCAATGGAGCCTACTTTGATCTGAATACCATATCGCTATCGCCGCCAGAAGTGAAAGACGGAAAAAAGGTTAATATTAAGGACAGGGAGGAGAGTTGGCATGCTAAGGGATACGATTATCCCGCAAACTTCACGATAAATATCTGCGCTCCAGTTATTGAAGATTTGAAGGACGTGGTTGGAGTGGAGGAGTCAAGATGGGGGAATGTTAGCGCATACTATAGATTGGACGGGAAAACATATTCAATAGGGTAGGTGGATGATATTAAATCAGAAATTTGGGAAAGGATAGGAAGAGGAGATATAGCGCTCTGTGCTCATATCCAATGAAACATGCTAAAAATTATATACTCTTCAGACAACAGCAATCCAGCCTCGTTTTCCGTGGTCGTAAACTGTCACTCAACTACACCGATGGCTCTCCCTGCCCTGCGTCGAGTACATCGAATATCCGGACTCGCGAGATCGTAGACTCTGACAAGGACAAGGACAAAGAACATGACCGGGATAGTGATAAAGATAAGGACGGAGATTCCACTCAGAAGACTACGGATTCGTCCCGGCGAAAATCTACCCTCATGTCCTTTTTATGTGACCGGGATCTGGTTTCTCCAGCGGCTACGGTATCATTTGTTGGAGCACTAGATTCCTGCGCCTATTTCTTCGAAGTTCGAAGCGCTGCCGCGTGTGACGGTGTCGCGCGCTCTGAGGGCGGGCTTGGGCCCGCTGGTGTCTTTGGTGTGATGTATGTTTATATCGATAATTGTTGGGCAAAATTTGATTTTGTTGAAAGGCATAAATACTGACCCAAGTGTTTCGTTATCATAGAGCATTGATCGCCGTAGCAGCATACTTCTTAGGTGGCTGTGCATATCAGCGAACTGTCATGCACCAGCGCGGATGGAGACAGTGCCCAAATTACAGTCTTTGGGCTGGTGCAGCCTCTTTCTTACGGGTAAGTGTACTATTCATGCCTTTAAAGCGATCATTGTTCGGACCCCACGCACGCCGTCGCACGGGAAACGCATATTCGCCCATGGGCACACGGAGAAGTTTTTTGTTGCCTGTTTCACGGCTTGATTGATCTTCTTTCATTTTTGTTTTCTTTACAGGCCCGCTGGATGGGACGTGGTGTGTGATACATTATAAGTCAGCGGACTCGCTGGTTTAGCTTTCTCCCTGTAATCGGTTTATCCCTTTAAGAAATTTCCATTGCATCTATTACCAATCAGCCTACTTTTGTTGATTGGGACTCCATTATTCGGGAGGATCTACCTATAATCAGACATCCCGAAGAGCCGTGGTACCTAAATACCGTTTATGCTAGCCTTTATTCCTTTTGAAGTCTAAAATGCCCCTTCAAAGAGAGGCGAGCTACTCCATATTTTCAGTATATTAGTGCTTCCTCTATTTCTTGTCTCTTCATTTCTTTCGCCCCACTCTTTTTCTTATCTCCGCCAAGTCTTCCACTCCCTTGTTCCATGGACCTTTTCTGCTAGGTTCTGTTTCCACAAAAAGATCCTCGATTGTCAGCTCATCCCAATCTTCAAACGTCCCAAACAAAAGAGTGAAACGGTATCAAGCACTGACCCAGCATCTATTCCAGGACCTCTCTATGATCCTCTGCTCCTCCCTGTCCCGCTGCTTCCGCATCAGCAAATCCCCTGCCGGTTACTCGCGATTTTCCAATGGCAATTACGACGCGAACGAAAGGCATGGCGGAATTATCGGAGTCATTGGCGCCTGTGCTGGCGCCACCGGCGCGCAGAGGCGTAGGGGGCCAGATGTAGATGCTGAAAATCGGTTGATTGACCAGCTTGATGAGGAGTGGGATGTTTGATGATTGATTAATTTCATTATTTCATCTTTACTTTTTGATCAATGGCATGCTAGTGTATATCCTCAGTCCTTTTTGAGGTCTTCTCTATATATACCTATATTTTACTTTGGCTTATCAAACTTGGCAAATTTGAAATGTGTGATGATGGGTTGATTTCTTTTCGTATGTATTTTATTATTATGGCTTTCCTTGTTTGGGAGATGGGTTTATTCTGCTGTGAAAAATAAAAATAAAAATAAAAATAAAAAAAAATAAAATAAAGAGATAGAGTGAGAGTATAGGAGTAACATATCAAGGGTCGATTTCACAGCCATGAGCCCGTGATATACCCAGAAAACCCACAACCCAGCAGAAAGAGAATTCAAATACATTGACGTTGAAAGCGAAGCTGAAGAAGGGGTAATAGCAGGAAGT